GAAAATGAGAAAACTTTCTTGATTGCTTAAATCTATCTATTCCCAAGCATGATTACAATTCCTTTCTTAAAATAGTTTTAGGGTAGATCATAGGCGGACCTTTTTCTCGTTTCCTAGCTCCACACCTCTTAAGTCACTCGATAGACAATGAAGTTTCTCTTCGTCTTCTTGCTGCTCTAGGGTCTCATAAAGAGGAGAATTCCTAGTCTCAGGAAGCCATAGACTTAGAATTCCGCTAAGGATGGAAAACGCCCCGAATACAACGAAGGAAAGAGATGGGCTCAAGCGACCAACAACGACCAGTAAAGGAGCTAAGGAAGCCCCTAACATCAAGGCTTGGCGCAATAGTGACACTGCAAAGTTTCTGACGTTAGTGGGGAAAAGCTCAACGCAGTAAATATACAAGACATCGAACGCAACAGAAGCAGCCATGAAACCAATTGCTTCAATTGTCAATTGAGGCCAACTCCCACCGGATCCATCAGCCCTTGCTTTGCCCCTAGAGCTGGCCGAGAAAAGGATGCAAAGAATACTCGAAACTCCAGCTAAAAATGCAGACAGTGAGAAAAGCAGACGTCGGTTTGTGAAGCTCAATAGCACGCTACCAACAAAAACAGCAGGAATTTCCATCAGTGCATTAAGTACAACTGTGAAGTACAGATTGAAGTTGAGGTTTTCGACATTTAGCTGGATCCCATAATAAACAAATCCAACTCCAAAACCAGCTATCATAATCGTAATCATCCTCTTTGCAGCCCATTTCACGGTCCATAGATTCTGAGTTTTATCATTAGCTGCTGCATCTCTTTGACCTTCACTGGCCATTTTTGCTTCAGATGGAATTATGAGCTGTAAATTGTCAGGTAATTTCTTCCCGTTGAGTCTTGCTAACTTTTCTAATACGGCGACTGCTTCTTCGTTTTTCCCTCGAACAAGCAGCCAGCGGGGTGACTCTGATACAAAAGCGACTAATACAAAGGTGTAGATAAGAGGAAGAAGGGATATGATCTTGTATGAATTCCTCCAACAGGTTCTGGTAGGATGGGCAATGAAAGGAAGAGACAGAAAACCCGCTGTGAAGAAAAAGAAGCCATATTGGCCAACTTGGCCACGCCATTTACGGCCAACAGCTTCTGTTGAGAGAACAAGACAGCATATCCCAATTCCAGAGCGAGCAAAACCATTTGCAAAACGGAGAAGTGCATATATCCAAACATTTGGTGAAAGTGAGGTGATGAAAGTGGTTGTGAAGGTTAAGATGCATGCTAGCAGCAATGTTTTCTTTCTACCCAAGCATGCGTCAGCAAGGCGACCATAGAAAGCACATCCTGTGGAAGTGGGACATACGTCATTCGTATCGCAGTCATTAAGTTTAATTTGGTGTGAAATATATGCACATGTTTCAAAGCATAAAAATGGAAAATATTTGTAGATTAATGCCTACAAATAATATATGATTGATGGCAACATATTCATTTTGTACTTGTCACAATACTTTAAATTGGATCAAAATAAAAACAAAAAAGAAGACTGACAGAAGAAGTGTCATACAATATAGCACAACTAATAAAGAGAGAAAGAGAGAGACATAAACCTGGGCTGCGACTAAAAGGCCGGGGACAAAGAACAGAAAAAACAACAAAGTAAACAAAAAGAATGCATTGTTGCCAGTACAGTAGTTTTCTGAATACCCAAAAAGAGAGAGGGGGGAAGAACTCTTCGTCGTCTGCGATTAGATTATAGAACTAATATGAATGAGGCCTGGCAGGATTGAGTGTTGTTTTTGATCGGCTTGGGTTGGAGGCTCTGTTTTTTTTCTCTTGTTGGATTAGGGGGCTTGTTTGTTGCGACCCTTCATTTTGTTAAGTATTTGTATAAACCATGGCTATTGATTGTCTGTTTTCAACCTCTTTTTTGATGAAATATTTGAGGCTACCCTTATTTCTTGAGTTAGTTCTCGTTACTGTTTCTAGTGCGTGGCTAGGTTGTGTTGTTTCCTGCCGACCTCTGTTTTCGATGCTGAGTTGTTTCTGGCATTGGGGTATTGTGTTGATTTTCTGCTGATGTGTACACTTGTTGAATGAGTTGTGTTATGTTGTTGGAAGGCGAGATCGGGTATGAACTGGGAACAAGGCTATGTGTTGCCCTGTTTCTTGTTCTTACTTATATCTTGTGGGCAATGTGAGAGTTTAAGTGTGCGGCTCCTGGAACTGATGGGCAAGCTTCTGGTGCTGGTTTGGTGGCTGTAAGGGATGCAGATTCACCATGTTTGATGTAGGTACTCAGGTGGTGGTGCTTTGCAAGCCAGGTGTTTCTTTCTTTGTCCTTTATGGAGCTGAGTTTATGAAGATGGTGTTTGAAAGGGGTTGGTTTGAGCTTGGGAAGTTCTTGGAGTACTGCCTTCAGGACTTTTTCTTTGTCTTGGACTGGTTGCTATGGTCTTTTGAAAACTTGGATATTATTGCAGATTTGGATTTATGGCTTTGCATCAGATTTCTACGGGAGGCTGTTGTTTCTCTCTTGGTGTTTTGATCTTTGTTTTCATTTTCAGGTGGTTGTTGTTGGTTTGCTAGTTTGTAACTCTTTGGTTACTGAATAAATCCCTCTGACCATGGGAAAGAAATTCTAAATGAAAACTATGTATGGAGGAAGAGAAACATGGTGAATGAACGACGGAGAGAATTACCAATTATTGAACCGACGAAGAAGAGGGAGGCAGGAAGAGCTGCAAGAAACTTGCGGTCGCATACAAGACCCCACTCAGCAATCGTGGATGTTGTATTTCCTCCAATCCACTCCCAAGTCCCCGCTGCTAATCCACAAACAGGACCAGTTTGCGCTTTGTTGCTAGCTGTAGTAGCCATCATGCACAAAGACGATGATATTGATCCATTGGTACTGTGGTCAAACGAGGATTTGCATCTCCAAGCAGCTGGTTTGGCATCACTAAAGATGGTGATTAAAGTGTTCTGGGAATCAAATATCCATGCAAATGACACCAAGAGCACGTGCAGCAGCTGGGAGAACCCAAAGGATCCCACGTACCCTTCTACCACCTCATCCACGGTGAGCTCCAACTTGGCTTCTACTGAATTTTCTTTCCCATGCACAAGCTCTCGTGACTCTTCTTCTTCCATGAACCTAGCGGATTTTGGGTGGTTTTGCTGAAGGTGGTCCAATTAATGTCTTTCTTGCCTGCTACATATGTCAGTTAGGTCCTAATATATGGCCATGGTATTGCCATTTTCCTTTTGGGTTGTTGTAGTTTGGGTGGAAACCCAAAAACAAGAAACAGGAAATGGATGATGATGTCTACATGATTTGGATGGAAATTGTAATATCAAATTCGTCTGCGTGCATTTATCATCACATCTAGCCTAGGGAACTAATCATGGAGAACCTCCATTTTTAAATTCATCACATTCAGGTGGACCGCCACCCCCTGGATGTATGGCACTATGCAATTGATCGGCTGATATTTGACACACTTTGCACAGTGTTTGTAGGACCGGAGACAGATGGTGGTGGTGTAATTGGTAAGTGGCCAGTCATCACTTTCATTAGTTACATGCACAGTCTGCACAACTAAATTGCCTCAGAGTTCAGACCAAGACAACACTCCTCCCCACCTAACATATCTGGTCCCATGATTTTTTTTCATCTTCTAGCTGAAGGGTTTTTAGGTGATGTTTGTATATTTTTTCTTTCCATTAAAAATTATCAAACATAACTAAAATTGAAAGTCAATGTGTATTTTAATAAACTTATAATATTATGTTATATTCCAATGTACGAGGGTGCCAACTAATATTAATGTAGTATATGCCTTGGTCGATCGAACCAAGTGATCCTAAAATCGAAAATTAAAAGCAAGAGAAACGAATAATGGGGATTCTATAAGATGAGAGGGAGGGAATCATATGCTAGACTTATCTATCTAATCAAAATATCGAGCAGCTCAAGTCATGGCCACAAAAATATAGTGCAGACAGAAGCCCAAAAGAGTGGCAACCATTGTATCTGGATAGCTACTCGAGTGCTAATTGACGAGCTCTTCCACTTCCAATTCTAATGATCACACACGCAACTGTCACATAAGAATTCGTTTTCATAAACACTTACTGAAATACCAAATGAAACTTTCATAAGTTACAGCAAAAAATTTGTTCCTTTAACCAACGCTCACATGTTTGGTTAAACGTCTCCATACTTCAACTTATGAGAATAATTATTAAGTTCACAAGAAATAAAAAATTTGTCAATCTCTCGACTTTATTAATGTTCTGTCTTGATAAAGCATTGAGTGAAACAATTTAAAAATAATATTATGATGCAATAAGAATTTCCTAATTATAACACTTATAATTCCTTACATAAAACATAATTATTTCATAAATTTTATCTTAGTAAGTAAATAATAACAATTTTACACAAACTTATAGATAAAGAATGCCTTTATCAATTAAATTTAATGCATAAATTAACAAAAATGTAACTCATAACTAAACAATTGGCTATAAGGCATACATCAATTCTAAAACTCACTTGTAAAGAATTTTCGAAAGATTAAATATAAAATCAATGTTTAAAATCGATCCAGTGGCGGTCCAATCCGATCTAACCCGGTTCAACTGGATGATGGACAAGTTTTTGACTTGTCCGATGTACGCCGATACAAATGACCTTATGGGATCAGATAGACCACTGGTTTTTGGTTGAACCACTCCAACTAGCCAGTCCAATCAGATTATTTAACATCACTGCCTGAAATTGTACTATTAATCTGCATGGATCTTCAATAATAATTCCTGACTTAACCTAGAATTTCCCATTTCAATATTTTGTCAGGCTATCATAAAAAATTTTGACAACATGTACTATTTTGCTGCTAAATTTCTGTTATTCAACAGGCATGTTTTTCATAATATTATATTTCTTTACATCTCAATTCGAAGATTTTAGCAATTACAAGTTCCACTAAAGTGTTTCAGATTTGGCTAATATCAAAGTCAGTTTTTAAACTAAGCTAAATTGTACAGATACAAACAAGCATTACCACCCATGCTTGCAAAACACTATGACTTACAACAGGAGAACAAATTAGGTTTACTAAATTTAGGACAAATTAAATAAAACAAAAGATTAAGCCGTCCAACATGTGTAACAGACAACCATATTCTCCAACCCAAACTCAGCTTTTAAGGAAAAGGAGATGTTTTGTTTGATAGAGGGCAGCTAAGGTGGCTAAGATTTAAAAAAATGGAATAAGATGAATAAGATGAACATTCAACCATATGAACAAGGTATAATTTAAGATTTTCTTTCGACACTAAGCCTAAAACAATTTTGCTACAAGAAACAGAAACTATAACACCAAATAAAGTTCAAATGATGAGGTTACCTTGGAAATCTCAAGCATTATGCCAAAATGTCATTCATTTGTAAGTCATCCACTTTCCTACAAATTTGGGGGAAAAAACAGAAAGAAAGTACAAACAATTAGTGAGACAATGGAAAGAAAACAGTTGCTTATGTATTCTTTTATTTGAAATAGAAGCAGGAACCAAATCATCTTTAGGAAAAGCAAATAACTGCGTATGCACACATTAGTTTTAAAGCTAGTTTCTAAGTCAACAAGGAATATTTCTTCATCAATTCAACGGTACACTTACCTTCAAATATTGCTACAATATAACAAAGGGATTCAATGCTTCATTGGGACTAAAATTTCACTTGACTAATGAAATCAAGAATTTAAGGCAAACACCACATTCACTCCCTAACCTGTTCCCACCCCTTCCCTTTCCTTTTTGGCTCCTCAATTATCAGCCTTTTGATTTCTTGAAGTATCAACATTTATCACAAACAGCAGGCATTTGAAATATGCTAAAATATTTTGTCTATGTTATCAAAAGCCTATATATTTGTTAGGTAATAAAAACAAAGCTACAGCTGATCAACACTCTTCACACCCATTAAACCAATTATGACAGTAAAACTGCCAATCTAAAGGTCCCAACTCAATGGGGCTAGTGGTTCAAATATATTCAACTATTCATAATACACTTGAAATAGAAGAAACTGAAGAGTATGGTTCATGCTAAAATAAAAAATAAAAGAGCACAAACAAACAAAAGAAAAAAGATCTGCAAAATCAGATAGTAGGAAATTCCTATTTAATAGTTTCAAATGAAATCTTCATTAGTGGCAACACCCAAGATTTTTCCTTTCCTTCTTGCTAAATATTTACAGAAGACTTATTGCCGCAATTTGTTCATCCTCCCAAAAAGACTTATCAAAAAAAGGGTGCAAAGATCTAATGCTTGTCATAAAGTGCTAAAACACAGGTCTTGGTGATAAGGTTATAAGGAGCACTGTTTGTGACAATTAAAAACAGAGTTGGGAATTAAAAGCACTAAAGAATGGTATAAAACTTCAGTGTTTAGTATATTTAGAGCATATTTTTCCCAATCAGGTTCTCTTTCTAGGTTGCCTGGAAATAAGAGAACCATCCCAAGAATAAACCTTTTTTGACTGTGAACATTTGTACTCTGGGTTATGGAGTTGGAGGAAATAGATAAAGTTGAGAACTCTAACAAGGCAGTTCACTTAGCACGCAATGGAATTTGGCTTCTCCTTTATCTTGCATGGTGATTGTCATGTTTAGGGCTCTTTAATCCAACGTTTTGATCCAAGAATTGTGCAGGAAGCAGTGTTAGGTAATCAAGCTGAAGTCTCTGCCACCATTAGAAAAGGGAAGTGGTGTAGAAGAGCTGCAAGATTAAGTAATCTTCCCATTCAATTGTCATTATGTGGCAGTGCTGCAGCTAGAGGAGAAGATTCTGTTCAGTAATAAAAATGAAGCTACTGCTAATCAACATTGTTCACCTCCTAAACAACTAATAACAATAAATACCAATCAACAGGGCTTGTGGTTCAAAGACATTCAGCTATTCAGAGTATTCAACTAGTTCTAATTGGGCTAGAAAGAATAGAAGTCTATGTATACCAATGCAATCATTCCATTCGAAATATATAAGTTTTATCAGAAAATCTTCAACACTATGTGATGCAAGCAACCTTAGATGTAAACTTGTAAGGAACCATGGTATGAAGTTTAGATATTATTTCTTCTTCTCTTTCAATTTTTCTGTCTTGTCCTAAGAATTCAAATCTGAAACCTGCCATAAACCCTAACCTCCTAGCAGTCCTACATCAAGAATGTAATCCAACTCTTTAGTATGTCAAAATAGTACTACAAGTGACTCTGACATGGCATCTGCATTTAGAAAAGATGCATGGACTTTCATTTGAACATTGTAGTATGCATATGGACAAATTTAGGAGGATGTAAATGACATGATAATAGCACCTACACTGAACTGAATATACCTCCAATATAGCTTTAGCCTCAGGATCAAATGATTTGCATAGAATCTCATAATTGTTTTCAACTCCGGCCTGCACAAAATGGTAAATATTACTCAAAACAATAGTCATGTACAACATAGCTATTATAATGCAAATGTACTCGAAAACTCCTTACCAGTGGATTGACTCTGGATGGTGAAATACTCGATATCACAAATCTGCAAAAAATTGGTACATGCCCATTTTATGCAGCCATGTAAAGTAGAATAACAAATGAACCATAAATACTGGAGACAAAGTAAAACAACTATCAACCACAGAATCACAAGATAAACTCGGTAACTGCAAATATGAAAAAAAACCAAAACCCATTTCCCATTTGCATGCGTAAAACATGCACAAAAGTGAGTGACATGCATATGGTCGTAGGCTGGTATATAAATTACATAGACGACAGACTTTAATTTGATTGGCTCTTTGTGAATAGGACCGGTATACTGCTCTTAACTAAAACACCAAATACATCTTAAAACACATAAATTGCTAGGTCATCCATAAATCATTGTTGCTCTTTCATTAAGGTCCTAAATTTTATTCTTTGAAGCATACATGCAGCCCAAAGAAGAGAAGAAGGGCCTTACTAATACAGAGTATGAAAATCAGAAAAAGTGTCAGGTCAAAACTAAAGGGAGGAAGGGTTTTTATTTCTTTTAAGCTTTTTGCATCAAGTGATCACTTAGGTTTGCCTTATTTGGAAACAGAATTATTACAGACTGCACCCAAGCAAGACAGGGGATGTCACAATCTTATTCTAGAGTATTAAAGGAGATATTAAATACAGCATCAATTAGATTCCAGGTAAGCCTGTTAACAGGACTGCTTATAGAAACCTGAGATTCAGCATGGATTTATCGAACTGTTTTATTCTTTTAGCCTCCTTTAATTCAGCTTATTTCTTTGTCTCGGTTTCACCAAGTTGTCTAAATCCTTTTGCTCCTTTCTTGTCTTCTTTCACCATATTGTATATTTCTTTTTTCTTCGTTTACTGGTCATATCTTCTGCCTTCCAGCAGACAACATAACACTAAACAACAATTGCAAGCAGGAATGTTGAGATTATATTGAACAAGAATGGATCGCTGTAAGTAATTCCATCTTTACATAATTACAATTTGGAAAGTGAAAATTTTACCTCAGCTTGCTCATGTAAAATTTCATGGCTAACGAGTTAGCTTTTTGAACAGTTAACACCAGGGCGCCCATGTGGTTCTAGGAGAAGATGAAACGCAAAGCAAAGAATCACATCTTAGAACTTTAAATTTAGCTCGAGAACAAGAGTAAAGCAAATGTGCAACTGCGGACTTAACCCTAAATGCTACTAAACACAAAGGAAAAGGTGAAAACCTTGCGGGCAATAAGCTCAATCAGATGCATCAAGAATTTGCCAAGTCCTTTCCCTTGGACGGAGGAATCCAGCTGTATTTCATATAAATAAAGAACAGGTATCTCTTCCTCCATAGTGAAGCGGTAATGCACGAAACCAAGCAAGGGACTGGGGCTGGAGGCATCGTCCAACTTCATCTCATTGGCATTGGAATGTACAAATATATAGCGTGCTTCCGGAGCAACCATTTCCCTCCGTTTCACCTTCTCTTCGGCCGCCCACTCCGACCCATACGGCCCCTCCATATTCGCCTGTCAAACCTCTCAATTAAAACAAGATCGCGATTAAAATTTTGAAATTTAAAAGGAGAGGGTGAGCTCTGTTTAGATTACCTTGAGGAGGCTTTGAATGCATTGTTTCATATAAGGGGAGAGCTTATCACCACGCCCCGATTCCAAGCGTACACAAAGGCCTAGTAGTGGTTTCACACTCAAGAATAGAGGCAAAATAATTTAATTTATTTGAAATTAAAAGGGAAAAGAAAGGGGGGGATTACCATTTCTGTTGAAACAGCGAAAGGGAGGGAAAGAAGCGAGTTGGTCAGTTTGAGCAGAAGCGGCTTTGATGGATTGGTCGATTGCCTTCTGTTTCTCTAGTATCTATTCATTCACCCAAAAGCCAATTGAAAAAAATTCCCTAACATTACTTTGTAAATATTTCAAAATTGATCCTAGCTGCTTTGCTTTCGGAGAATGGGGAAATAAAATCCTGACGTACGATTTTTACCTCACTGCGTTTCAACTTCTTGTTCTCACTCTCTCTGCGCGACTCCATACCGGCAGCTCGCTGATTCGATGATGGTCCCGCTCGCGCTCTTTGGAAACATTGAAATAGAATCAAAAATCCATACGACCGACAAAACCGATAAGTTTCAAAACTTTTCTATTTACCCAAAATCTAAACTTCAAATATGCTTCTTTATTCAAGCTCCACGCTTAAATTTTCATTAATGATTTTTCTGTAAGAAATGTTTCTGTTTACTTTTAATGTGTGTATCTATTTTTTAAAATAATTTATTTATCAATTTATAAAATTTTTTTGGAATATAATCTATTTATAAATTAATAATACCAAAATTATTTAAATTTTTTTAATTTGATCCTTTTTACTTTCTCGATTCCACAATTTTAATCTTAATATCTCAATTTTAATTAATTTAATTTCTATTTTTTATTAAAAGTTAAATACTTGATATGAATATTAAAATTCAACGATTCAATTCCATGACCTGCTTTTTTATTATTCACGTGACAGGTCAACTTGAAATTTTTTTTAAATCATGTAATAGACCATAAATGTTATTGAAAAAAATTTCTTTTAATAAGAATTTATTCAAAAATTTTTTTAATTTTAAAAATATTAATTATTACTTAATTAAAATGAAATGGCTAACATACACTCATCTCTTAATTTTTAGTTATAATTACACGTGAGTCTATTAACTTTAAAAAAAAAATTATGTTTCAAACGTATAAATGGTGTTAATGCGTAAATGTGAAATATTTAAAATACTTTCTTCTTATTTCCCTTCTTTTTTTTTCTTTTAAGTCAACCGATGATGCTCCCTGGTTGGCTACCATAGCCAGATTTGGTCATAGAATGCCAAATCTGGCTCGATCTGCCTAAGCTCCCTTAAAGAATACTATGTTCTCCCTTAGAGAGTGCCATCAAGAGTGCATGGCTGGTGGAAAGAATTTTTTTTGAAAACAAAAATTTTAAATGTAAAAATTATAATTTATATGGTAGTAATTTTTAAATTTAATGAAGGATAAAATTCTCTTAAAAATATTACAACGTCATTAAACTAATAGAAGTGTTGACAATTAATTAATGATAAGACTTATATGCCTAATAAAAATATTCTTTTGAGACAGACTGTTTATTTTGAAAACTAATGCACTTATGTGTAATTATAATTAAGAATCGAGAATGTTAATGTATTTGACCCAAATAAAATATAATTTTTTAGAATAAAATGTAACTTAGTCAATGATGACCTATTCAAAAGGGAAAAAATTTGATGCCAAATGATTGTGGATCATAAGAAAATAAGATTATTTGACAAGCATTTGCAAGAATGCACAAAAAACATAATTTTGTTATGAAATATAAATTGAAAGAATAAGGATGTAAATAGGTATTTAGTAACTGAGTCTCAAGTGGGTACTCGACCCAATAACATAAAGTTTGAGTATCTCATAATCGATTGTAGAGTGGGCTCGAATACTATTTTTTGTACTCGACTCTAATTCGAGTATCACCTTAGGATACCTTAAATCTGAACTCGATTATATTCATTGGGGGTATTAATGGGTACCTAGCACCCATGTAACGAGATTATAGTTAAATTATATATAATGTTATAAAATTTTGTGATTAGTGAGACTTGAACCTTTATTCTCTTTATATTTTTAACAAACTTAACCATCTTAACCAACTTCTTCATTAATAAATTATTAAAAGTAAAATAAATTTATATTACTCAAACTATGATGCAAACTTAAATATATAAAATGATAGCGCCAAGGATGATTTCCAAAATGCTGCTAGTGAAGGAGTCTTAAAAGACCATACTGGTACTTTAATTTTTAGTTTTTCTGAAATCTTGGTCCATATAATTCATTGCAAGCGGAGTTAATGATGTTACATAGCGACTTACTACTATGTATTGAGTATAATGTGTCCCATATACGGATCGCGATGGATGCCAAAATGATGGTACAAAAGATACAGAAAGGTCAAAAAGGTTCTTCTAAAATTTGTTACCTATTGGAATCTATTCGAAAGTGTCTATCTACCATGTCTTTTCGCATCTCTCATATTCATAAAGAAGACAACCAGGCTGCTGACTATCTATCTAATGTTGGACATACGCACCAAAACCTTTATGTTTTCTCACAGACACAAGGTGAGCTCCGAGGAATCCTTAGACTAGATAAATTAAATTTACATTACTTTCATTTTAAATAAATGTAAAGGAGTAGTACTCCTAATTTATGTTTTATATTTTTTCATAGATTCTTGTATTAAAGTACTATTACTCTCCAAATGCATTTAAACCATTATGCTTGGAAAGTAATGTCTTTATTAGGAGAATTTCTTAATTTATTTCATTCATCTCATGTAATGTTGGAGGTACGATTTGAGTCCCCCTCCTCTTTGTATTTTCATTTTAATTAATAAAACTTAATAAGATAGCCAGGTCTTGTGAGAATTTTCAGCATTAAACAAAAGCTTAAATATATAAAATTTTTATATTAGTTGAACTTGTAAACTGATAAATGTAAAATAATTTATACTACATGAATTATGATGCAAACTTAAATATATAAAAGTTTTATATTAATTGAACTTGTAAACTAACAAATTTAAAATAAATTTATATTACTTGAACTATGATGCAAACTTAAATATATAAAATTTTTATATTAGTTGAACTTATAAACTAATAAATGTAAAATAAATTTATATTATTTGAAATATGATGCAAACTTAAATATATAAAATTTTTATAATAGTTGAACTTGTAAGCTAAAAAATATAAAATTAATTTATATTACTTAAACTATGATGTAAATTTAATATATAATATTTTTATATTAGTTGGACTTGTAAACTAATAAATGTAAAATAAATTTATATTATATGAACTATGATACAAGATTAAATATATAAAACTTTTATATTAGTTGAACTTGTAAACTAATGAATGTAAAATTAATTTATATCACTTGAACAATAATACAAACTTAAATATATAAAATTTTTATATTAGTTGAACTTGTAAACTAATAAATGTAAAATTAACTTATATTACTTGAACAATGATACAAACGTAAATATATAAAATTTTTATATTAAACTAACAAATGTAAAATAAATTTATATTATTTGAACTATGATGCAATCTTAAATATATAAAATTTTTATAGTAATTGAGCTTGTAAATCAACAAATGTAAAATTAATTTATATTACTTTAACTATAATGCCAACTTAATATATAAAATTTTTATATTAGTTGAACTAGTAAACTAATAAATGTAAAATAAATTTATATTATTTGAACTAAAATGTACACTTAAGTATAAAAATTTTTTATATTTGTTGAACTTGTAAACTAATAAATGTAAAATTACAACTGTGATGCAAATTTAATAACAGATCATTGTTTTGTTCAATAAACATTAACATTTTGAAAGCAACGTATAATATTTTTTTAATTTATGTTTAAGTTTTCTTTAAGTAACTTTAATTATCTTTTCAACCATTTTAATTTGATTTTATATTTTATATCTATTTTCTTCCCACTTTTGACTTATCTACCATATATAAATAAAGTCTAGATAATCATATAAGATATAAAAATTTTACATTATATCTATTATCTTAATTTTTCATTTAAGATAAGATAAGATAACATTAGTAAATAAATATAAGATAACATATTATAATTAGGAATAGATAATACCCTAATTCCCTTAAAAGGCTAAAACAAGGTTATTTTAAATCATTCCTTCCAACAGCCCAAACCATAAACATATAGTCCGCATTTTCTGTCCACAATTTCTTTTGTCTTTCTTTTTCGGCTTTTCCTCTCTCCCTAGCCTCTAGCAACAACTGAAAAGGTGTTCGGTGCTTTAATGCTGAAATAATATCCTTTCACTTCAAGTAAATGGCATAGTGTTTTTTTAAAAAAAAATTAAGAGAGAATTCTTAATTGTTTTTTTGTAATTTTCCAGAATATTTCCTAGCTATTTGCTTTCATTTTTTCATGCTTTGTTCTAAGTTTTTGGGAAAGAGTCTACTCTATGTGTGGCTTTGTTTTTTTAGGTGGATGTTCTAAGATTAGCTTGAGGGTCGATGGGCTCTTTGGAGGACTCAAGATGGGTTATAAAGCCTTAATAAACCCCAAATAGGGAACAAGAGTAAAAGGTCGACCTAGTGGTTGACGGGCTCCTGGGTGACTCGAGACGGGTCCTAAAACCCATATGGACAACGGAAAGGGAACAAGAGCAGAAGGTGGGCTTGATGGTCAATAAGTTCTCAAAAAACTCAGAGCCTTAATTGACGATGGACAAGAAACGGGAGAAGAAGGTTGGCCTAGTGGTCAACGAGCTCCCAGAGGACTTAGGAAAGGTCCTAGAGCCTTGACAAACGACAGACAGGGAATAAGAAAAGAAGGTTAGCTTGGAGGTCAACCCTAAACCCCGATAATTGACAAACACGGGACGAGAGAAGAAGGTCGGTACATAGGTCGATAGGTTCTTGGAGTACCTAGGAAAGGTCTCGGAGCCTCAATGGGCAACGGACAGGGAATAAGAGAAAAAGGTTGGCACGAGGGTTAACGAGGTTCTTAGAGGATCCATGAAAGGTTCTAGAGTTGTGACGGATGACAAATAAGGAACCAAAGAAGAAGGCCGACATGGAGATTGATAAGCTCTAGGAGGACTTAGGAAATATCTTAGAGCCTCGACAGATAATGGACAAGGGATAGGAGAAAAGGGTCGACACGAGGGGTTAATGGGATTTTGGAGTACTGAGGAAAAGTCCCAAAGTCACAACAGATGATGAACAAGGGACTCGAGGAGATGTTTGGCACGGTGGTCGAGGGGCTCCTAGAGAACTTAGGAAAGGTCATAGAGCTTTGACAGACGACAGATAAGGGATTGAAGAAGAAGGTCTGTGTGCTGGTCGATGAACTTTTAGAGGACTCGAGAAAAGTCTCAAGATCGCAACGAACAACGAATAGAGGACAAGGAGAAAAAAGTTAGCACGAGGGTCGACGGGCTATTGAAAGAGTCTTGATGGACAAGTGACTAGAGAAGAAAGTCAGCTTGGTGGTTAATAGATTATTGGAGGAACTGAAAAATATCTTGGAGTCTCGGTGGATGACAAATAAGGGATAAGAGTAAAAGGTCGGTTTGGTGGTCAATGGGTACCCAAAGAACCCAAGACGGATTCTGAATCC